AGGGGTTCGGAGCACTTTTGGACGTTCAGATATCGTTCTGCGTGGCATGGGCAAGGGATTGTGCACGTTGTCAAAAGTGAGCAATTGTAGCATTTGCAAAAACGGTGGCAGGCGTGGGAATTTGAAGAGGATGCATTTTCCGTGGCAGGCGCAATACAAGAGACATGTTCATCAGGTCCGTTCCTGAGAAGGGTTGATTTTGGTGCATCAGATCTTCAGTTTTGGGAGGATGATTTTGCGTGACAGGTGCAGCACTTCGTATGACCTGGCATCACTTTTTTTCGTGGCGGGCGCAGTACTTTAGACAGGGGGAGTGGAAAAAACACAAAACGCATTGGCACGAGGCCGTCAGCTCTGCACTCAACTTTCCATTTTTGAAGGAAGTCTCGCAGAGTTGTTTCGTTTTTGATGTTGTCAACTTCGAAAATCGCGGAAGTCTCGCAGAATTGTTTCGTTTTTGATGTTGTCAATTTAAAAATTGAGGAAGTCTCGCAGAATTGTCTCGTTTTTGATGTTGTCAAGTTCAAAAATGAGGAAGTCTCGCAGAATTGCTGCCTATTCAAGCTTGCAGATTGCAGCTCGACAGATAGATAGATAGATAGATAGATAGATAGATAGATAGATAGATAGATAGATAGATAGGTAGGTAGATAGATAGATAGATAGATAGATAAACAGACAGACAGACAGACAGACAGATAGATAGATAGATAGACCACAACAACAACAACAACAACTACAACTACACTACTACTACTACTACTACTACTACTACTACTACTACTACTACTACTACTACTACTACTACAGCTACACATGCAAATAAACTATGTACATTACACTACGCTAATTACACTACACTACACTAATTACATCTAATTACACTACACTACACTAATTACACAGCAACTACAACAACAACTACTACCACAGCTACAACTACAATTACAACTACACCACATTACGCCACACTGCACTAATTAAACTGCAGCACAGTACAACTACAAATACACATGCGACTACAACTACATTACATTACGCAACGCTACACTACACTAATTACATTACATTACACTACAACTACAACTACAACCGCAACTACAATTGCAACTACCACTAAATTGCACTACACAAAACTACACTGCCTTGCACTACACTACAACTACAACTACACTACCTTGCACTACACTACACTAGACTGCACTACACTATACCAAACTACAGTACACAACACTACAGCACACTACAATACATTACACTACTTACACCACACCACACGACACCACAACAACAACTGCAACTACACTACAATAATTACACAACATAACAACTACAACTCCACTACACCACACTACAACTACGATTACAACTACAACTGCACTACGCACTGACTGCATCCAGCTTTTGTGGTGAGGGGACCACTGCAAACATTGCAACCACTCCAAAAAACACAACTCCAACCACCTTTCGGTCCATCAGTGGATTCGCTCTGCCATCCGTGATTCACAACTACCAAGTAAAGCACCATGAATCATGTTGTATCGTGAGACCTTGGATCTAAATCACTAGGTTGCTCTTGCCGCAGCTCTTGACACATGCCAGGGATAGGCCCATGGACAGCATACATGACGGGTATGGTATGGCTGACAACATGTTGATACAATGAGCAATTGAAAACCTTGCTTCCCGTGACCAGAGATCCTGAGCCTGGGCGCCAGGCGCAAAGCAGCCAGTGCTCTAAGCATTTCCACGTCGTCTGAAGGCCTTGGCCGATCCAGAACATCAGAACATAAGTCTTCTTGAACCGTCCCTTGAATTAAGAGAAGCCTGTCAACCCAAAAACAAACCCTTTCCAGTGCTGAAAGCTGGAAATGAAATCTGCTCAAACACAAACAGCTGTATATTATTGTACGGTAACTACATTTAAATATACGGATTTTTAAATATACGAACTGGTATCTTAGACTACCTCCGGGAAGGTTTTACTTGGCCCGCCCAGCCATTTAAACATACGGAATCCAATTCATTTAAACATACTGCAACTACATTTAAATATACGAACTGGTATTTCATATTACCTCCGGGGCCTCGCGGTCTGGCCCGCCCTCTACATATTTAAGTGTTGTTACCGTATATTCACATGGCATTTGGCTTCACGATGCGAAGTCCGTCTGGGTCTTTCAGTCGCATTTACTTTTGGGATTAGATGGCTGTCATCACAATCACCGCGAAGAAACGCGAGCAGAACGCACGGCGCAACAGCAGGCATTCGACAAACAGACTACTAGACAAGGGCTCTCTTTCATTGGGTTGGCGGCAGATACACTTGTGTACATAACATCATGGACTAATCCCATCACCCTAATACTAAGCACCCCCTCAATGGTCCCACATGATTTCTGGGGAGTGTTTATACCTGGATGGATGGGATTAAACGCTTTGCTTTTCCTGCAGCTAAGGTTCTCCTTCTGACTTGCGGAGCTGCAACTGGCGACATCCTGCCAAGGTCAGTGGTGTATTTCAAGGAATCCAGGCATTTGCTGCTCATGTCAGTCCATGTCAGTCCATGTCAGTCCATGTCAGTCCATGTCCGTCCATGTCTGTTCATGTCAGTCCTCTGTGTGGGGCTGGCGTGCTTCCACCTTTTGCCGAACCTGCGACAATGACAAGGACAAGAAACATTTGTGAGTAACCTGTGCAAGGGTTGTTGGGAGAATGGGGCACAGAACGCTCCTTGGCGGGTACAGCATGCACTGCACCGACAACCTGCTCTTCAAATCGCAAGCTACAGTTTGCCTGGGGCAATATCACTTCGAAATGCCTGCGCTAGCCTTGCGACCTGTAGAGCCAAGGTTTACGCATGCTGCTACAGTTTCGAACTTCCTAGTCTGCCATCCTTTTCTGCATCTTTCTGTCTCGTTGCCCTCGTCTCAACCCAGGTTCACAAGTTCCACAAGCCACCACGAGATAAGAAATGGCAAAGCATTGGGCAGCGCCACACGCCGCTTCCCAATGATTCATATAAGCGAATGAACATGCATGAACTTAACAACTCGATCTTCCATTTTGCTTTGGTTTTTAGCCCTTCGGGAGGTAAAATTTGCAATCGCAGCAAATGTCAGTGCTGAACAACTATGGGCCGCTGTCGCAGCCGCAGCAGCAGCAGCAGCAGCAGCAGCAAGAGCCAGAGCAAAAACGCACGAGAAACAAGGATAACGCGAAGTAGAAACAGTATGAAACAGTATAGCAATTGCGCTCTACCTCATCATCCTCGTCGTCGTCCTCAAGCTCAACAAAGGCAAAGGGAACAACGGGACCAACGGGAACAGCGGGAACACAGGAACAACGGCAACAATGGCAATGACTACAATAGCGGCAGGGTAGCAGCACCGTAGTGGCATCAGCATCAAGTAAACATCATTGACATCATGACCGTCATCGTCATCATCGTCATCATTGGCATCGTCATCATCGTCGTCATCGTCGTCATCGTCGTCATCCTCATCCTCATCACCACCACCACCACCATCATCATAATCATCATCATCATCCTTGGAGCTAGACCTACGCAGCCTTTTTGCCAACAGTACTCCTGAGTCTTACTCATACGCTTGCAGCCCTGACAGCCTCCTTTTTCAGCCTCCAATCCAAATTAACGATTTCATTGCGTCAGTGCGTGGAGACACTGGGATTCTAGTCCTTCAAGATGATGGAGAGCCAACCACGGCACCACCCTAAAGTCTGCATCTCAAGTTGCCCAGGCCTACAGAGAAATACCCAGAGCTTTTGGCGCCTTACTTGTGTGTACTGATTGTGCTGTTCCGGGCATCGGCCTTGCTGATGCCTCAGCATGGAACGTTGTGCCATTTATTTCATGAATGACCTTCTGGATCGGCACAAAAGAATAAGAAGGCCAATGTAGATACTTGTGGAATCTTGTGGATTTATACACGCATGTACACACGTTCTGCAAGAATTCTATACACGTGCAGCAGTTTGCAACTCATCACCGTGAAGGTAACCATGTCACCAGCAATTCCTCTATGATCTCTATGTATCCAGTTATGATGCACTCTGTAGTACCCAAAAATGTCATGATGTGGTTTCAAAGCACTTCAAATATTTCGACTTTGTTTCGGTTTGTGTAAATCTCTCGGTTCCTCCATTACAGTCAAGAGATCTTCAGGCTGCTTGAGGCATCACCAGGGAGGCCTCTCGTAGTTGCACAACTTCATCTTCCAAGCGCTTTTCTCGACGTTTTGCTGTCTCTGCGAAGTTCATTAGCTCCTGTCAGTTCGAAGGTGGCAGCCAACACGACAACACTACGAAAAGACTATTGCGACTAGTTGCCACGCCGTCCGAGCTTATTTGTTGGTGGATTAAGAATTCATAATATGCTTGCCAAGATCAAAATGAATGCACCGCTTCAAAATCACAAAGAGCAACTCCTCCTCCTTCTCTTTTAGAATGCCTTGAGTCCAGAATGAGTCTAGAATGAGTCCAGAACGCAAAAAAAAGTCTTGTGGAATGGTCGCGCTACCATGTTCTGCCTAGTTCCGAGCGTGCAAAACGTTTTCTCACCTGACTCACATGCGATCGAATTATTTCGAAGTCGTAGCTCGCCTTGGAGCTCCTTGACTTGGCTTTGATCATCCTGTCTTGCTGCTACTTGCTGTCACTTGTTGTCACTTGGTGTCACTCTGGCAATATCTTTTTGCTTTATCGAATGATATCAAAAGCATGTCTTGACAACCATGGGCATGCTGAAGCCATAAACTGGGCACCACGGACATGTGAATCCAAACCACTCCGAGCCTTTGTCCTGCTTCGAATGCCTGCAAATCACAAAGAGGCTTGGCACGGCTTAGCGGCTTACTGTAGCAGGTACAATTGAAAAAGAAAAATGTAAATTGTATGTATACCTACATACATACATGCAAGCATACATACGTACGTACGTACATACATACATAACACAACACAACAAAAAATAAGGAAACAAAACAGTACATACATATACATATACATACATACATACATACATACATACATACATCCATCCATCCATCCATCCATACATACCAACAACCAAACAAACAAAACTATACATACATACATACAAACATACCATACCATACCAAACCAAAGCAAACCATACCATACCATACCATACATTACATACCATACATACATACCATACATACATACATACATACATACCATCCATCCATCCATGCATACATACATACATGCATGCATACATACATTACATACATTACATTACATACATACATACATTACATTATATTACATTACATTACATTACATACATACATACCCAACATACCAAGCATACCAAGCATACCAAACATACCAAACATACATACCAACATACATACCATGCATACATATAATACATACCATACATACCATACATACACACATTGCATACATACCATACATACATACCATACATACATACTATACATACATACATACTATTCCAATCCAATACATTACATTAAATTGCATTACATTACATGACATACATACCATAGATTACACAAATACCATTTGTTACACACCATACATACATACATGCATACATACATACACACATCAATACATACATACATACATACCATTCCAATCCAATACACTACATCAAATTACATTGCATTACATGACATACATAACACACATACATACCATACATACCATACATACCATACATACATGCATGCATGCATGCATCCATGCATGCATGCATACATACAAACAAACAAACGAAATAACAAACAAACATCACATACATACCATACAATACCATACCATACCATACCATAGCATACCATACCATACCAATACATACATACATACATACATTCATACATACATACATACATACATACCAAACATACCAAACATACCAAACACACCAAACATACCAAACATGCCAAACATGCCAAACATGCCAAACATACCAAACATACCAAACATACCAAACATACATACCAACATACATACCAACATACATACCATGCATACATATAATACATACCATGCATACCATACACACATACATACATACATACCAACATACATACCATGCATACATATAATACATACCATGCATACCATACATACATACATACCCACCAAACATACATACATACATACATACCAAACATACCAAACATATCAAACATACCAAACATACCAAACATACCAAACGTACCAAACATACCAAACGTACATAACAACATACATAATACATACCATGTATACATACAATACATACCATACATACCATACATACCCACAAAACATACATACATACATACATACGTACGTACACACATACATACATACCATACAGACATTCCATGCATACATACATACATACCATTCCATTCCAATCCAATACATTACATTACAATACATTACATTACATTACAAAACATTACATTACATTACATTACACAACAAAACATTACACAACATAACCTTACATTACATTACATAAGATTACATTACATCACATTACATTACAAACCATTACGTACATACATACATACAAACATACATACTTACATTACCTTACATTACATTACGTAACAGTACAGGACATTACATTACATAAATCACATACATTACATACATTACATACATTACATACATTACATTCATCGCATACATTACATGCATTACATGCACGCACGCATGCATGCATGCATACATACATACATACCTTGCATACATACATACATACGTACGTACGTACGTACGTACCTACATACATTACATACATGGGTGTCGATCAAAATACAGGTTCCTGGGAAGGGTACAATCGCCGATCAACCGCGAATCAATCGCGACCCCAAAGGTGACAATCGCGGAGGGATTTTGTTCTTTCCAATGGCAGCTGTACAGAAAATAAAAATAGATATTTCTATAGACGTAGAGATATATACAAGTCACAAGCCTGTACAGCGATCAATCCTCTGATTCATTGTCAGAGGTGCTGGAAGAACTTGTCGAGGTGATTGAAACACATTCTGATTGCGTCCATTGCGGTCCGAAAAGACATGCAGCGGTCCGAGAAGGCAGCACCCAGAACGCACTCTAATTGCAGCCATGGCGGTCCGGAAAACTTAGCACCCAAAACGCATTCTGATTGCATCCATTGCGGTCCGAAAAGACATGCAGCGGTCCGAGAAGGCAGCACCCAGAACGCACTCTAATTGCAGCCATGGCGGTCCGGAAAAATTAGCACCCAAAAGGCGATCCAATTGCAGCCTGTGGAGTCCGGGACATGAAGCAATATAGAAGAGCAAACATACATGTTCAAAAAAGTGACAGTGCCCGGTGAAAACTCATAGCATCTAATAGGAAAGCAAAACCCAAGAAGCCATTCCAAAGCAAAGAAAGAGAAACAGGGAAGGGGAGCTGGTAGGAAAGACTGAAGTTTTGACCGTTTCAGACCTGTTTCAGACCTGTTTATGCCCTCAGTATCTTTGATATCACGCTAGTAGCAATGGACCGTTTTGTTTGACTGGAACTAGTAATAGTAACGGAAGTAGCAGCAATAGTGGTTGTAGTAGCATCAGTAGTAGTAGTAGTAGCAGCAGTAGCAGTAGCAGTAGCAGTAGCAGTAGAGTAGTAGCAGCCGCAGTAGCAGTAGCAGTGGTAGAAGTAGTAGTAGTAGTAGTAGCAGCAGTAGTAGTAGTACTAGTCCTACTAGTCCTACTAGTCCTACTAGTCCTACTAGTCCTACTAGTCCTACTAGTCCTACTAGTCCTACTAGTCCTACTAGTCCTACCAGTAGTAGTAGTAGTAGTAGCAGCAGCAGCAGTAGCAGTAGCAGTAGCAGTAGTAGTAGCAGTAGTAGTAGCAGTAGCAGCAGCAGGAGCAGGAGCAGTAGCAGTAGCAGTAACGGTGGTAGTAGTAGTAGTAGCAGTAGTAGCAGTAGCAGTAGCAGTAGTAGTAGGAGTAGCAGTAGCAGTAGTAGTAGGAGTAGCTCTAGGAGAAGGAGTAGTAGTAGTAGTAGCAGTAGCAGTAGTACTAGTAGCAGCAGTAGTAGTAGTAGTAGTAGCTGGAGTAGCAGCAGCAGTAGTGGTAGTGGTAGTGCTAGTATATATATATATATGAGGTCGTTCCAATGTCGTTCTGGATGTCGTTCATGGTCGTTCCCCAACTAAATGGCACATTCCAAAATTACCAAAAACATCCGAAATTGCTGCGGAGGTGCCTGGAATTCTGAACGAAGGATTGCACAATACTACTGTAAATCAGCCCACTGTTTTTTTGACTCAATTGACCCTGCCAAACCCAGCACACAAGACTGCAGCATACTACAAATATGAACAGCGGTTATGCAAAGAATGATTTTCTCCCATATACACAATAGATAACTGCATCAATCGCATATCAATCGCCGATCAATCGCGATGCAGTTTTTTACAATCGCGGATGTCAAGATATGAAGGCCGATTCATAACTCTTAGATTGGCATTTGCGACCGGCTCCCACATACATACATACATACATACATACATACATACATACATACATACATACATACATACATACATACATACATACCAAACATAACAAACATACCAAACGTACCAAACATACCAAACATACCAAACATACCAAACATACATACCAAACATACATACCAAACATACATACCAAACATACATACCAACATACATACCAACATACATACCAACATACATACATACATACATATAATACATACCCTACATACCATACATACCATACATACCCACCAACATACATACATACATACAAACATACATACATACATACATTACATTACATTACAATACATTACATTACATTACATTACGTTCATACATACATACAAACAAACAAACAAACAAACATACATACTTACATTACCTTACATTACATACATTACATACATTACATACATTACATACATTACATACATTACATACATTACATACATTACATACATTACATACATTACACACATTAAACACATTAAACACATTACATACATTACATACATTACATACATTACATACATACATACATACATACATACATATCTACATACATACATACATACATACATACATACATACATGCATGCATGCATACATACATATATATATATATACATACATACATACATTACATTACATTACATTACAGTACATTACATTACACTACATTACATTACATTGCATTACATACATACATACATACATACATACATACATACATACATACATAACATACATAACATACATAACATACATAACATACATAACATACATAACATACATATCTACCTACCTACCTACCTACATACATACATACATACATACATACATACAATACATACGTACATACATCCATGCATACATACATACATACATAACATAACATACATACCATACCATGCCATTCCATGCCATACCATACAACACATTGCAGTACATTGCATTACGTACATACATGCATACATACATACCAGTACATTACATTACATTACGTTACATTACATTACATTACATGACATTACATTACATTACAATACATTGCATCACATTAACAATACATTAACGGTACATTAACAGTACATTACAGTACATTACCATACATTAGCATACATACGTACATACATACATACATACCATTGCATTACATTACATTACATCACATTACAGTACATTACATTACATTACATGACACCACATCACATCACATCACAGCACTTCACTTCACTTCACTTCACGTCAATTCACTTCACTTCACTTCGCAGCTGTCGCATGAGTCCATGTTCGCTGAGTCAAGGCCACATCATTGTGACCCAACCTGTTAAAGACATTTCCTGAACAGTGCTCACTGCTCTCCCTCAGCAATGCAAAGAAGGCACGGGCCCGACAGCAGCACAACCAACCCCCTCTCACAAACAAAATAGCTCATGCCCTAATGAGTGAACGGGATCAAGCTGGCCGCTCAAGCGTCGGGACCAAAAATCAAAAACAAATCACTTCAACATGTCGGACAGTTGATCTAGAAATGTTTGCGCATCACGTTCCAGACCACACCCTTTGGCGCCTGTCCATGAAGCGTCTTACCGCCCTGGTTTCGGACGTGACTCTCAAAAACTTGCAAAACAGGCTTGACCGACTCACTGGCAGCGATGCAAATCTTCATCTTGGACTGGTCAAAACATTTCTTCACTCGACAAACATGCACACAGCATGCAACCAGAGAAGGGTTCCCACAGCTTTGGAGCACATGCTGCTGGAGAATTTCCTTGTCCTGCTCACTGGCATTCTTGTTCAATTCTTCCAGCAAGGCGATCCAGGCATGACAGTGTGGCTGACCTTCAGGCGGCGATGTGTTGGACGATTTGGCCTTCTCTTGTTCATCGTTGAATGCACGAGTGGCCGTCAGCATTCCTTGGATCATTGGATTGTCCTTGGGAAGCTGCACAGTCATCAAGCTGGCAGCCTGAAGTCTACTGACATCCATGGCATTCTTGAGTGCGAGCTTTGTGAGGACCTGGATGCCTTTCATGAGAAACTTTTCGCTGCCAGCAGCTTGCCGCTTCGCGGACTTGCCATCATCAGCACCTGTGCGCGCCCATGGGGTCAAAGCCGTTGGGCTGAGAAAAGGGCACACGATGCTATTCTTGCCTGTTTTCTGCTTCGGGCCGGGGAAAGTCGACATGACCGGCCACACGGTCCAACAACAAATGCACGTCATCGAAAAACTCTTGGCAAACCTTGCAACGCATGTCAGCTGGAGTTTCAACCTGGGAATAAACATGGCTGCCAGAACCACCGCACCCTCTCGTCTGGAGCGAGCGTCGGATATGGTTACGGGCCGGCATCTTGGAGGAAAAAGCATTCTTACAAAAAGGGCAAGCATTAGTGATAGCCAACAAAGCAATCTGGGAAATGTCGCCATGTGAGCCACCTTTGGCGGAACTTTTGTGAGCTTCCAATGCCTGCAATGTCGAAAAAGCTTGTCTACATGGAGTACCGTCGGCCAAGCTACGATCACAAATAAATACCAAATCACTTTCAGGTGTGTCCAATTCCACAGCAGCAATTGGGCTTTCTGGCGCGCCCCATCCCGGTGGTGGAATGCAGATGGGGTCAAATGTTCGCCGCAACTCGGACATATCAATTGCAAGAAATTCAGGCAGAAAGATAGTGAAAACCAGAAGCACGCGATCATCCAAAAGATCAAGCAATGCTTGACCCGCATCAATCTTTTGAAAACATTGAATATCAATCGGGGTTCAGATAAGGGGGGAGGAGTTGTGCAGATGATTTTGGTAGATACAGAGCGGAATGCATAGGGTGCACAACTACAAAATGCAAGTGCATGTACTTTTTTTCAGCTACAAAATGAAGAACATAACTCTTTCTGGCTCGGAAAATAATTCAAAACCAGTCCTACCAAATCCAATGCATCTGAAGTCAAAAAAATAGCTGAGCGTTGGAATTTCTAACATGATTTTTCCATATTTTTCCCAATGACATTTTGTAGTTGGGTCTTTGCCATCCAAAGTTCCGACCAACATAAATTCGGAGAACATTTTGTAGTTGTCAATGATTGGATTTAGTTGGATGCTTCAACTATTCAACCTGTACAGCTACAAAATGCAAATGAGATTTTATGTTGGATGCTTCAACTATTCAACTTGTACAACTACAAAATGCTAATGAATTTTATGTTGGATGCTTCAACTAACTCAACATATACAACTACAAAATGAAAATGCATGATTTGAAAGGAATCAACTACAAAATGATTCCAAATACAAAATGGGGGGCACAACCCCTCCTGTTTGTACAAAAAAATGCTGGCTGGCAATCTGTACTGTAGCCCAAGTCCTCCCCATTTCGTAGCTGAAATTTGAAGGTGGATGAATATCAGCCAAGAACTGCTGAGCCCAGGGATTGGCAGTCTGCAAAATCCTGCCGGCTGCGTCAACTGTGTCGCAAGTTTCACACCCGAGCCTGCCAAAAATGGCCATGAGAACGCAAATATGATTCTGAATGTCTTTAGCCAGCTGCTGATACCAAACAAGCCGCCTAATCTGCAGCTCGAGATCCACAGGACACAAGCCCAACCAGCGCCAAACGGCTTTGGACGTGCATGAAATATACGTGATGTGCCATCTGGCATGACCTGCTTGGAACAGGCTTTCCCTTGCATGAGTTTGCGACCATGTTTGAGCACCAAACTGTTGAGTTGTTGGTATTTACCTGCATCCAAAACCTGAGATTCGAGTCCAGACAAAAGAGCAGAATGCACGCGAGCAACATACACCAAAATCTTGCCATGTTTGGAGGAGAAGGAACGAAACGAGAAAGGACCATAAAGGACCCATTTTTGCCCAATTACGTTTCGCAATTTGCAATCGTTTGTCAATTTCTGTGTGAAGTTTGCCCGAGTAATGTACTTGAGCTCCGAGATACCGAGCAGAAGGCGCAGTTCTGCCTGGCAGAAGAAGCACCGTATACAGACCTGAGGTATTCAGCACTGTTCTTTCCACCAAAGAAAACAACATGTTCCTGCTTGTCCACATTCTGAACCAAATCGATATCCCACAAATATCGATCCAAACCAGCGTTGGCAGCTTCAAGCGAGAGGCGCAAGTCTTCAGGCGTTGTTCCCAAGCTGATTCTGCTAACATCATCAGCAAAAGAAGACAGAGAAAGGTCCTGCTCAGCCTCACCAAAAAGAAAAACGCACTTGGCCACCAAAAATTTTCTCGGCTCATTTAATTGCAGTTGCTTGCGCCCACTTGTCCAGCTGCAGGTGGTAGGGTTCCAAAAAGAGTTCTGCTGATGGCCCATCGCCTTGCATGGTGCCAGAAGGAGGGCGAAAGTCAGCTTCTGCACGCCCATCGCTGACACGAACCAGAGCTTCCCTGTACCGCTGCTCCCACAGTTGCCTATCTTCAAGTCTAGCGACAGAATCCAACGCACCTGAAATTGCAGTTGTAGATTGGCTGGGGAAAGCATTTTGAAAGTCGAAAAAAGATCTTGGGTGTGAAATTTTCCGGCTTCGCAGCCGGTGTGATACGACATTTTGTTGGCATATCGGTTCCAGGCGAGACTTTTGCCTGCAATATCCGGCAGCATAGGGTCTGTGGCTGCAAGGACGGCACCGTCTCCATAAGTGCTTGTAGTATCTTGTAGTAAGCAGCACCGCAAGGGTCCAAACAGCTGACCAAACGAATGCCCTGACAACCGGGGTTGTTGTTCTGTGTGTCCAATTGAAAAGACATACTGTGCTGCCATTGGTTTGGAGTCCGCTGCCACCTACGAATTGATAAAGCAAGCCATTGTATCCAAGCTTCAAATAACATAGCGCGGGCAGAAAAGGCACGGTAGCTGATACCACATCGCAACTGACTCTGATGATACTGCGGAAAAAACAATTGCCTCCAGACTTCAGCTGGGGCAGCCCATGGCGGGGTGGCCTTGCGGAGCTTAGCTCGATGGAGGTGAAAAGCAATGCCACAGAGATCTGATTGTGCCAAATGAAAAATTTGCCGGTCTTCAAAAATTGTATCTTGTTGACAATTTGGGAGCTCAAAGACCCGTTCAGCGTTCCAGCCACCGTCTTTGCCAGGACATGCCAAGTGAGTTGCTCACTCGTCAATGCACGGTCGTTCAGTGATCGGTTTGCTGTAAACTGTAAACACGCTTTTTTGGTCCAAGGTTCTTGCCAGAGAGTCTGCGAGCAACTTTCCACATTTCAGCGAATTGTCGGCGCTGCCAAGCGCCGTTGAAAACTTCCAGTTGTTTTGCAAGTCTGGTTTGTCTGTCTCGTTTTGCAAGTTGGTCCAGCAGCCGTCTGGCTATTCCAGTACGCCACCAAGCCTTTCCACTGTTGTAGCAAAGCGGACAAAAAATCCAAGGAAAAACCACTGTGGCCTGCATGGGATTGGGCAAGCTGACAAGATGAGAGCGCATGTCGACCATCAATGGGATCGGACGCATGCTTCTTCTGTTGTTTATAGCAGACCTGCGCAGCATCAACCACCGCTGTGTTGATGATGTGCCATAGAGTGTCAGGCGTGGAATGACAGTGCCCGTGCAGGTCAAACTCCGCCAGTCGGCCTTCACAGGCTTGAAGCAACTCATCACGACGGTGTCCATGTAACACACCTTGTGCCAGTGCATGTCGGTCCCACATGAACGCGGGTTGAGCTGATTCAAATCCCAACTTGTGCCTAAAACCACATTGTAAGGGCATATGGTCCCTTTTTCCAGCGGCAGGAATAAGTTGCAATCTCTTGCCTGCAGAAAAAAGAACTTTGCAGCTTTCAACCCTGGCCAACATGGTTCGCGGAAGGCAAACATAATCAATTCTGCTATTGTTTCCAAACTGCCCGTAATATGTATCACCTGCTGGGGAAAACGTGTCAATTGCTGCCATGTGATGCTCATCCAAAAGTTCACGAAGCTTGCCGCCATTATAGTTCTCCGGGGCTGGCTGCTCAGCCCCGAAACAAGATGAAACAAGGAGAAAGGATTCCATTTCCAACTCTTCCATTGGCATCCATGCACAGTATGGGTGCACATCTACTAGGGGCTTGCGACAGCACATGATAGATCCACGCCCAGACTTTATTGCAGTATTGCTTCTCCTGGGTCTTGTGGGGATTGACTGGGAAATAGGCATTGATGATAACCAAGAAATTAACATCACCTCGTTTAAGCCGAATTGCCCCGACTCTACCCAGCAGCTCGGACGGGGGCGAATATACCCGTGCCAAATGTTTGAGTGAGAAAAGTTTCGTTCTAAATGCGATGACCACTCCAGATGCCTTGCCAGCTGCAGGGCCATACCCACACTCCAAAACGTGGAACTCTCCAACATCATATTGTGTGACAGGTTCGTGCGTGCGTCTTTGACTGCCTTGGATGCATACATACTGTTCCATCGTAAGTCTGATAAAATGTGTCGCAATCTTCGTGTTTAATGTAGTGACAAAGCATTGTACGATACAGCGCTCCATTTCGGAAGATTGGCCATTTGTGTCCCGACCAGTGAGCACTGCGAGTTGCCATGAAAAGGCCCCGAACTATGCCTTAGTCTGATTTCGCATCACGCCGCCGGATTGTTTCATTGAGCATAGCGGCTTACATTACATTACATTACATTACATTACACTACACTACACTACACTACACGACACTACACTACACTACACTACATTACATTACATACATACATACATACAATATATAATAAGTAAATCTACATGTGTAGTCATGTAGTTTTTGTTTGCGATCTATTCCTGGGTGGAAGCAATGCTGAGGCAAGCGCCATCAGGAGCTCGAATTGAGCAAAGTGAATCATTCAGTTCTCGTCGAAGATGTTGCACCTCCTTCCGGTGACAAAGTGGCAGAAAGGAAATCGGCACAAGGATGAAATTCAACTGGCCTCCCTTTCAGTTTTCAAGGTAGCCTGTGTCTCTTCCAATGCCTCGATCAGGTTCTTTTTTTCAATCAAAGCCGGTCCACAGGGCCAAGAGAGTGCAAATGGAGAAAAAAACGACAAGACTATTTGCGTCTGTGCATGTTCTGCTTTCCCCTTTCCCCATTCAGCACCTGATTTGTAGCGCCTTGCAGCATGCTGAATGTCAGGTTGCATTCTATCTTCTGCTCACACTGCAGGAGTTTATGATGACTTTTCAGTGACCTTTGTTGCGTGGGGCACTGCAACGGGATTTATGATGCTTTATGTAAATCCCTTAAATCACTGTTTAAAATGAGACTTGAAGATTGAGTTCGTTGAGTTCATGGTTGAATAAACAAAGAAAATATCCTCAGGGAAGTGCTGTCCAGTAGTCTCTTTGACTGCATCGAATCATTTAGGTCTCGTCGAAGATGTTGCACCTCCTTCCGGTGACAAAGTGGCAGAAAGGAAATCGGCACAAGGATGCAATTCAACTGGCCTCCATTTCAGTTTTCAAGTTAGCCTGTGTCTCTTCCAATGCCTCGATCAGGCTCTTTTTTGATCAAAGCCGGTCCACAGGGCCAAGAGAGTGCAAATGGAGAAAAAAACGACAAGACTATGTGCGTCTGTGCATGTTCTGCTTTCCCCTTTCCCCACTCAGCGCCTGATTTGTGGCGCCTTGCAGCATGCTGAATGTCAGGTTGCATTCTATCTTCTGCTCACACTGCAGGAGTTTGTGATGACTTTTCAGTGACCTTTTGTTGCGTGGGGCACTGCAACGGGCTTTATGATGCTTTATGTAAATCACTTAAATCACTGTTTAAAATGAGACTTGAAGATTGAGTTCGTTGAGTTCATGGTTGAATAAACAAAGAAAATATCCTCAGGGAAGTGCTGTCCAGTAGTCTCTTTGACTGCATCGAATCGTTTAGGTCTCGTCGAAGATGTTGCACCTCCTTCCGGTGACAAAGTGGCAGAAAGGAAATCGGCACAAGGATGAAATTCAACTGGCCTCCCTTTCAGTTTTCAAGGTAGCCTGTGTCTCTTCCAATGCCTCGATCAGGCTCTTTTTTTGATCAAAGCCGGTCCACAGGGCCAAGAGAGTGCAAATGGAGAAAAAAACGACAAGACTATGTCCTTTCCCCACTCAGTGCCTGATTTGTGGCGCCTTGCAGCATGCTGAATGTCAGGTTGCATTCTATGAACTGCTCACACTGCAGGAGTTTGTGATGACTTTTCAGTGACCTTTTGTTGCGTGGGGCACTGCAACGGGCTTTATGATGCTTTATGTAAGTCACTTAAATCACTGTTTAAAATGAGACTTGAAGATTGAGTTAGTTGAGTTCATGGTTGAATAAACAAAGAAAATATCCTCAGGGAAGTGCTGTCCAGTAGTCTCTTTGACTGCATCGAATCATTCAGTTCTCGTCGAAGATGTTGCACCTCCTTCCGGTGACAAAGTGGCAGAAAGGAAATCGGCACAAGGATGAAATTCAACTGGCCTCCCTTTCAGTTTTCAAGGTAGCCTGTGTCTCTTCCAATGCCTCGATCAGGCTCTTTTTTTGATCAAAGCCGGTCCACAGGGCCAAGAGAGTGCAAATGGAGAAAAAAACGACAAGACTATTTGCGTCTGTGCATGTTCTGCTTTCCCCTTTCCCCATTCAGCACCTGATTTGTAGCGCCTTGCAGCATGCTGAATGTCAGGTTGCTGCCTACCTTTTGTTGATGTTTCACTATGTCTTGTCTATGCTTGTCTTTTTTATTGTGATAAGTATTGCGCGCGACAAGCACCTCTTGCTGCATGGACACTGATCTCTCTTGGTTAAGCCATGTCAAGCCTGAGCTCTTATTTTCATAGAATTCCTGCATGGAACGAAGCTCTTCTTGGAGACGCTCAAGTTCTGCTTGATGGTCCTGACATGGCACACTTAAACTCACGTAAGAGCAATCTAGATCAAAACATCAACTCTCTCAATGGTAGGCAAGTTGTGTCTTTGGCGTCAACACATATTGCACTTCTGAGACAAACCTACCTGCCAAAGAATAGCTTGTCTTGTTCAAAAAAACACAGATGCAGTACTTCAATAGTTTTCAAAGGAACCACATCACGCCAAGCAGTGATATATGGGTTCTATGGTTATGGGGCCATGGGTTTGATGGAACATCAACTTGATTGCTGTCCCGTCCTCTGCGGGCCATGCAAAATGTGCATGAAGCTGATCTGCCAAGCTTTCATGAGCGTTGCTCTCATCCCCAGCAAGAATGCCTCGGGCCGTTAGTTGCGAGTGCCTTGAGAAAAAATGAGAAAAGCAAGGACTCAAAAGAAAAAACGCTATTCATCGCCCATCGCCGGCTACATGTTATTCTCCAGGTTGCCGTTGAGCCTTTCTGGTTTTCCAAAGGCAGGCAACTCGCTTGGCCCAGGAGATTGCTGAAGACTGGGGATTCTGTGATACTTGGCCGCCTTGCCGGTAGCAATTTTTCAATCCATTCCAAGCTGCATGACGAATATACAAATGGATCTCTAAATATCACAAATATCACAGAATCATTCTGCGGAGAAGACGTGGTTTGTGAATGTATCCCTGTCAAGTCAAACTGTCAAACTATATTAAATATCAATTTCACGTTTCAATTCCGCTCGGTCCGACCTCAAGCTCCTTGTGCAGTCGCCGGATCTCCTACAGTTTCCAGAACATTTAAGGATGCTTCGAGGATCTCGTGGCATGGATTTCTGCTGGCAAAGTGTTTCTTTAAATTTCCTGGCGATCTCACGTTTGAATGCTGTTTTTGAAGATTTCCGAGCTGCCCATACCTGTACCTGAATGCCAAAACTGTCAAACCGCGGCCTTCTCACGAGTTTGCTCTGCCTTGGCAATGTCTACGTCCTTTGCAGCTCTTTGCTCCTCGCAGTCTTGATCTGTGTCAGTCGACAGTGTGGCCCAGAAGGAACAGGAGTAGATCAAAACGGGATGGAAAAGAAAATAGAATCGGTTGCCGATGATGAAAACTTATGGATGACTAATGAAGTTGTTGACACAGAACGACGGATGAATGAATGATACTGAAGTTGTTACTGTTATAACATAGACCCGGGCAAGCCGGCGGCGGAAGTTTCCCAAACATAAATGACCTATAGTTCAAAGACAACCTGTCCCGACCGTGTCCTTCCCTCGACAACCGTTTGATTTTTTCAGCGAGAGACGAAGCAAAGTCTTCACACTCCACGCTCCACACTTCACACTGCACTCTTCGCACTCCAAACTTCAAACTTCACACTCCACACTTCACACTTCACACTTCACAGTCCACACTTCACACTTCTCACTTCCCACTGCTTCCTTCACACTCCAAATCTCACACTTCACACTTCACACTGCGCGCTTCGCACTCCAAACTTAAACTTCACACTCCACACTTCACACTTCACACTCCACACTTTACACTTCTCACTTCCCACTGCTTCCTTCACACTTCACACTTCACACTGCACTCTTTACGCCCCACACTTCACACTGCTCTAAACCTACGTGCAACAAAAAAACGGATCTCGATGCCAAAACGCAAAAATTGCATTTGCCAAGCTTTGGAGTTTGCAAGCAGGCAAAATCCGAAAAAAATTGCAAGCAGGCGATCTGCAGAGACTGAGTTGCAAAACACAATAGAACTACGCACAACGGCGTCGGAAATTGTATAGCTCCAAAACCGAGTCGAGCTGCAAAAGACAATAGTATTACGAATGCTGCCACAGCACGAAGCAACCTTGACACAGCCATTACAATGCGATCAGCAGAGACTGAGTTGCAAAACACAACAGAACTACGCACAACGGCGTCGGAAATTGTAGCTCCAAAACCGGATCTTGACGCCAGAGGGAAAAAAAGACGATTTTGAAGCACTTTTTAAATGGATTTTTACAAAGAATATCGCTAGCGCCAAAATGGAGAAAATCTGCTAACAAATCCATGTCGCAGCCTTCATGCAGCCACTCCAATACGATTTCCGAGATCCAGCTGCAAAAGACAATAGTATTACGAATGCAGCCACAGCACGAAGCAACCTTGACGCAGCCATTACAATGCGATCTGCAGAGACTGAGTTGCAAAACACAAGAGAACTACGCGCAATGGCGTCGGAAATTGTAGCTCCAAAACCGGATCTTGACGCCAGAGCGAAAAAAAAAACGATTTTGAAGCACTTTTTAAATGGATTTTTAGAAGGAAAATCACTAGCGCCAAAATGGAGAAAATCTGCTGACAAATCACTGTCGGAGCCTTCATGCAGCCACTCCAATACGATTTACGAGATCCAGCTGCAAAAGACAATAGTATTACAAATGCAGCCACAGCACGAAGCAACCTTGACGCAGCCATCACAATGCGATCTGCAGAGACTGAGTTGCAAAACACAATAGAACTATGCGCAACGGCGTCGGAAATTGTAACTCCAAAACCGGATCTCGACGCCAGAGCGAAAAAATGACGATTTTGAAGCACTTT